TGTGCTTCTCTGCAGAAGGACACCAGAGCTTTATCTTTCTGAAGCAGCACAGAGGGAGCAGAAGTTGTACTCAAACTGCATCACATTTGAAATTGCTTTCTAGAGAAACACAAATGCAAGTGTTGGTGGCTCCTCTTAATTTTTGGGGCATTTTTGTGCCATTGTTGTGGCATTTTTTGTGCCACAAAAGAGCAGGATTTGTCATTGCACCTGAGATTTAAAGGCAAGGTTATCTGATAGAGTTTAGCTGATCCAACATTTCATGGCCACTGGATGGGAGCATTTTCCTTCCAAGCATTTTCTGTCTCTCCTCAAGCAGATGGGCAGCATCTCCTCTGCATTGCTTCAGTCCTGTCACATGAGCACACTTCATGTCCTGCACTCCTGTCCTCCCTAAACACATCAGTGTCAACCTTCCTCAGCTCCTACACACCCCTCTGCTGCTGCCTTGCAGTATTAATTTGGAGGCTTAATGGGATTTTGCTAAGTTAAAACTGCTGTTTTGTCAACTGATGCAAGTCTTCTGGAGAGGGGATGCATTTCTCCAGGGACTGAGGTTGCAAACTGCATGGGTAGAATGTAGCCCTATGTGTTACTAAAGAAAAAGCTTCAGTGAAATAGGAAAGATGTGTGTGGTGCAGCAAATCAAACCCCCAGCTGTGTAAACAGATCAATAAACTGATTTGTGTTTGCTGACCAGAAGAAAAATCTAGTTGCAGGTACTCCATATTCACATTTGTGGTGAAACTAGAGTAATTGGAATAATGAGAAATCCAATGTGCTTTTGTTTGGAGTTTATTCTTCTTTAGGATTGATTAAACTGGACAGTCCTCTCAAGGTTTAGGCTGCTTATGTAGCACACTTCCTAGACCCTCAGACTTCATAGATTTCTTCAAATTCAAACTCATCGCATTTGCCATCTTTTAATAAGACTTGACAATATTGAAGTAATATTTTTCCTGGTGTTTAAAGGCTCATTTCACTCACCAGAATCTCATTTGACTGAAGTTTGAATGCATTTGGACAGCAAAATAGCTCCTGGGTTGCCTCAAATTCCAGGTTTCTGCAATTACTTACATTTGGAAGAGAAAATAATGCTCTCCTGCATGTCCTGAAGATGTATTTCCAAGTACTGTTGTGCCACATACTTTTCATTTCAGCATCTCTTGCATTTCTCTTGACTTAGATTTAAAAAAAGAGAGGATGGAGGTGCTGGCATGATTGTATTTCTGTGAGGGACCATATTCAGAAAGGTAAAAGGTTTTAGGGTAGGAGGGGAAGAAATACCCAGGAAAACCATGAAATTGGAGTTGTGTGGATGTGTTTTCTCCACCTGAGGGGAACAAAAGCTCTGTCAGGGTAGGTATCTTAAGTCATTTCAATTGTCAGTAACAGAAATGAAGATGGTAGTGAAGAGAGCAAATTGTCACCTGCATTTACCTTCACTTTGAGGTAAAGCTGGTAGATTTAATAGCTGTATCATTAGCTTGGATGTCCCATTAGGATTGTTTGGAAGTGGAGAATGAGTCCTCTGTGAAGGAAGCAGAATGGGGTGAGCTGTGGCTCCTGGGAAGAGGAGAAGGGAAAAAGGAATTGGGGGTTGATGGAGTGTAGCCAGGTAATGATGAGTTTGTGATTTTAGCTGAATGAATAGCTGAAAGGGAGGCATAACAAAACCTACAGAAAATGGGTCTTTAAAAGCTTTTCAAGGCAAGCTTGGAAGACTGGAGGCAAAGCCTCTCGTTGCCTGGGTTCCATTTGGATCTGTCCTTCGGTGCAAGAGGGAGCCCAGAGCTCTGCAGCTGGAGATCCTGGTGTGAAGGGAAGGTGATGTGTTCCCACTGACATATGGCAGCACCTGGGATTAGCTGAGATTATGCCAGTGAAGACTAAATCCTGCAAGTTGATTTCCCTTGCTGTTACTTAACAAATGAAGGACCTTATCCAAGGTCTGTTGGGAATCTATAGGCTTGCAATGGGATTTATATTCCCCCATGGCAGGGCAGATTCAGAATTCTGTTGGTGTGAATACCATGAAGGCTGAGCTCCTCAATTGTCCATCAATCTTCAAAACACACCAGTGTGTTCAGTTAAAATTGAGCCTTTATTGTGGTTTGCCTGATTAATTTGAAAAGGATTTTTGCTTTTTTTTTTTACCTTCTTTATAAACCCTTTCATGAGTCTGTGATCAGAATTCATCCCTCTTCTAACAAGCACCTGCTTTTTTCTTACCATTCACTGCCAAGGTACATTTCATCAGCTAAGAAAAAGCCATTTAAGGCAGATTGTGACAAACTAATTTTATTTATTTATTACATTATAATTATAGTCTTTACAAAGCAGTAGACAGGGGAAGAGGAAATGGCTTCAAGTTGTGCCAGGGGAGGTTTAGATGAGGTATTAAGAAGAAGTTCTTCACTGAAGGCATGGTCAGGCACTGGAACAGGCTGTCCAGGGCAGTGATGGAATTACCATCCTTGGAGGGGTTCAAAAGGTGGGTGTGTGACACTTGGGGAAATGGTTTAGTGGTGAACACAGCAGTGCTGGGTTAATGGTTGGACTTGATGATCTTCAAGGTGTTTGCCAACCTTACTGATTTTATGACAGGAAAGATGGTTGGACTTGATGATCTTCAAGGTGTTTGCCAACCTTAATGATTTTATGACAGAAAAGCTTGAATGTTTAGAGTTTGTTTTTTTTTGTTAATGGATTTAATTATGATTTTATGACAGGAAAGCTTGAATGTTTAGATTTTTTTTTTTTTTGTTAATGGATTTAATTATGGAAATCTGAAGTGGTATCTGATCTGCTGGAGAAGACTCTGCTTCCTCCTCGAGTATTTCCATTTCTATTCCAAATATGTTCAGGAACATTTATAGGTTTTTATCCATGTAGCAGTATTTTCTTTATATAAGTTAGTTAGTTAATATAATTTTTGGTCTCTTCTCTTGCACAGTTACTGTGACCATGTGTCCCATTTCAGCTGAGTAAGCCAGACTGTTTTAGTCCTTGTAAAATAAGACTGTGGTACCCTGATTCCCCTCACAGCCAGTTCCTCAGCTGAAGCTCAAGTTCACCTTTCCTGGCCAGGCACTGACAGGCCGTGGGCTGGGAGCAGTGCTGTAACTCTTACACCATCCTCCTTTTCATTAAAAAATCCTCCCTGGGATCTGTTCTCTTGCTGGTGCCTTGAGTCTTTTGAAAAGAAAATTGCTTTCTGTAGCAATGAATTACAAACCTCCAAAAAATCAGGACATACCTTTTTTAGACCTTCTGTGCAAGAAAAGGGCATTATTTCTGGTTGTACAGTCAGTGAACCCTGAATTTTAAAATAGCTGGGTGCTTTTCTTCCTCACCCAATGAAGAGAAGAATGAGAGACACAGAATAGCAGAGTTTTGCTTTTTTAACTAGACAGGGGTGGGTCCACTCAGTTACATGTATGTCACCATTATTATATGGAAATGTTCACTGCAGAAATCTGCTCAGGCTTATTCTTAATGCAGCTTGGGATGTGATCTCCACAGACTTGAAAAATTCAGTATTGGTGGTTTCAGGACAGGTGAGACCCCCAGAATACCCAGTGATTGTAGAAACCTGCTCTTGCCTGGCTCCATTCCCCACCTGGGGTTTTCTGCTGGCCGTGCTGCCTCCTCCTCTCTGCTTTTACAGTGGATTTTGTTACAGTTTTCTTCCCAGCTTTGTCCACATCCACAGCCCAGTCTTCACCTCATGCTGAAGGAAATGTTCTCACTTCCCACCTTAGTGCAAATACAGTGTTTTGTCAGAATTGAAACAATTCAACATTTGTGGCTGTAGGTGTTTGACTCATAAGTTGTTTTGGCCATTCTTGGGTGTGCTGGGAGGATATTTATTATAGGACTAATTAATTATTTTGGGGTTATTTCTTTAAAACTAGCATATTGTAAAACAAATTTCTTCGTCTTTCAGTGGTAAACATTATTGAAAATTTCTTATATCTAACATTTCTATATATTTAGAACATTTTATGGGGTTGTTTCCAGCTGGGCTGAGCTGCTGTACCAGAGTTAACCAGCAGCCACATCTAATTTCCATGTGGGAGTGAGACCAAGTTCCACAGCAGAAAATTCTGCCTAGTTTTGGTTCCAGGATCAGTGCAGAGGTCAGTGCTTCCTCCCTAAATGTGTGCCTTAAGATGAAGAGTCAGAAGAGCCCTGAGGGTCTGGTGTCAGAATCCATCCTCTGTGAGCTCCTGTTCCTGCAGTAATGGCTTTGTGGGATAGAAAGCACTTGGACAGGGGAAGGTCTTCAGTGAGATACAGTTACTGTGCTTCTGGTGGTAGTTGTAGGATTTTGGAAGGTGATGTGAGAGGGTGAGGGAGGAAGGAACAGGACATAGTTCTGGGGAGTAGTTGTAGGATTTTGGAAGGTGATGTGAGAGGATGAGGGAGGAGCAGGACATAGTTCTGGGGGCCTGTGTGTGTCATGGTGCAGCTGCTGCAGCTGCATTTGGGGGTGTGTGACTGCTGATGAGCATGGAGTGGACACGGGGAAAGGGTCTGGAAGCTGGGGGTGTCCATGTGTGTGTGTCTAAGGACAAGGACAAAACTCCAGGAAGATCTGGGACCAGATGGACCAGGGAAGTCCCAGCCACTGCTGGAGAGAAGGTTGGGTCTGGGGGTTGACTGAGACCCTAGAGTGTGTGCACATGGATGTGTCAGTGTCTGCAGGCTGGAGGGTCAGCTTCTGAGTGCCTGAGCCCAGCTGCTGGAGGGATCTACTCTGCACCTGTGTACCTGCAGCTATTTCCCACTAATTCAGCCTCTTCCCCTCATGTGGAGTGGTTGTGTCTCATTCTCCTTGGGCAGATACTGACAGTTACACCTTGGAAGACTTGAGGATAAAAGAGAGAGGGGAAGCAGCAGAATGCCCCAAAGCACCTTGCAGACATGGGAGGAATTAATTAATCAGCAAAGCTGTGCCGGGATGTTTCATTCCAACCATTTCTTTTGTGTTCCAGCCCTGGCCCAGTGTGTCCAACCTGGCCAAGGATTTCATCGACCGCCTGCTGACGGTGGACCCCAGCGACAGGATGACGGCCCTGCAGGCCCTGAAGCACCCGTGGGTGGTCAGCATGGCAGCCTCCTCCTCCATGAAGAACCTGCACCGTTCCATCTCACAGAACCTTCTCAAGAGGGCGTCCTCCCGCTGCCAGAGCACCAAGTCAGCCCAGTCCACCCGCTCCAGCCGCTCCACCAAGTCCAACAAGTCGCGGCGCGTGCGGGAGCGGGAGCTGCGCGAGCTCAACCTGCGCTACCAGCAGCAGTACACGGGCTGAGCGCCCGCCGGTGGGCACGCACTCGGTGAGGAACAGCCAGGTTCCTCCCCTCCTCCCTCCAGGCGTTCCCCCCTCCCACGAGGAGGTGTCCCCCTCACCCCGTGTGGAGGAAAGGGAACCTTGTGGTGGCCGTCCCAGCCCGCGAGCTGTGCCCCGCGGGGTCTCGCGCCAGAAACGGGGGAGTCCTTGTGGGCTCGGAGCCCCAGGGAATTAAGGAGCCACGTGGGGAGAAGAGCTCTTTCTGTAGCCCGGGAGCTTGGTTGTTCATAGTTATTTATTAATTCCAGAGCGTTTAGTTTCTCTCACTTGTGTATGGAAAAAAGCAGCAATCACTTGGTGTGTCTGTGCGTGCACGTCCGTGTGTGCACATACACGTGTGGGGGTGTATATGTATTTAAAAATCCTGTATACACACATTTGGAGCTGGTTTAGTCAGACTCCGTGGTGCCTTTGCAGCGAAGCTGGAATGAGTCATGTGCAGTTAGAAGTGGGATAGCTCTGACTCACTGCTGTGCTGCCCACCAGCTCCTCACCAAAGAGATGCCAGACAGCAGTTTTCCACAAGGGCCGAGAAGCTGCGAGGTTTCCCCCAAGGGCTGCCATCCTCCTGATGACGTCAAGGCCTCACTTGCCTGATGACATCAAGGGTTACCCCTGGAATTGTCCTTTCCTTGCTTGCAGCAAGACCAGTGCCTGTCATGCAGGGTTTGTTGTTCTTGTGGCTCTGTTGTGTCTCTGATGTGTTACACACCTTGCACCCTTCAGAAGAAGATTGAGAAGGTTGAGGGTTTTTTGTGCTAAGGGGAAAAAAGAGGGGAGAAGTTTTAGGGATGTGCTTCCCACCCCAGAGGTGGGATGGGCTATAACCACTGTAGGCACAGTGTTACTGACCATGTCACTGCAGCAGAACTTTGGTGGTTCCAGGCTGCTCCCTGCCTGCAGATTTGACAGGCCTCCCCTGCTTTGTGTGCTTGTGCTGCCCCAGCACTGCCATCCCTGCTTTGGGACAGTGGTGGTGGGAGCAGTTGGGGTGGCCACAAATGGCTCCACAGCATCAGGGTAGGGGCTTGAGTAGTGGAAGCCCAGTCTGGGAGTGTCAGCAGTGACAGTACCCTGGAGACATTGTACACATGCCCTAGAGCTGTGAGGGGTGACTTAAGTTCACCAGGAAAAAGCTGCCTTTGAGGAGTCCTTGTGCTGTGTAGGTGATGAGGTGGCCTCTTACAAAGGACTCTCAGGGGGCTGCAGAGCTGAGCTTTCTGCAAGCCTGCTGAGATTATCTTCACAGCTAGTTAGAGCAGCAAAGTGGGGCTGATGGCACATGCACAGGATGGATTTGGCTTCTCATGGTAGCAGAGACAAGATCAGCAGTGAAGGAAAATGCTGGGGTTTGAAACTTTTCTTACAAAGCCACACGATTTGCTTTGTGCTGTGCACTTGGGAAGGGCTTGCCTGGCTGTGGGCTGGAGGTGCAGGCAGTCCAAGCTCAAGGGTCTGCTGAGCTTGGCCTTTTCCTAGGATTGATGCCTGTGCCACTGTGTTCCAGTGTCAGCAGGGCTGAAGTGGTCAGTCACTTCTCCAGGGAGCTCTCCCAGTCACTCCTAGTCAGCAAACAGCAAAGCAGCTTTAGTGGGAGAAGATTGGAGTTTTCTGTGCTAAGGTGAAAAAAGGGGGATTTCTGGGGTTGTGCTTCCCACCCCAAAGCTGGGATGGCTGTAAATAAGTGTAACCAGCCTGGTGTGCCCAAGCATATGGTGGGGAATAGAACAGAACCTTGAGACAGCCACTGTGTGTAGCAGGAGTGAATTCAAAATCCTTTGTGTGGTTTTGCGTGTTATTTTGGAAACCTCACATCCTTTGTAGGCTGCCCTTGCTCTGAGCAACCCATCCTCCCATGTCACATGCAGTCTTTCTTCCATCAGCATCAACAGATACTGTAGAATTCCCCTTATTTGTTTTTTTTTCAACTCTGTGGACTGCAAACAAAAACGTTTTCAGCATATTTTACCTCCTCACATTGTTTTTCCCTAGTTTGTTACCATGAATTATAAACTAGATGTGATATTTCTGACAAAGCAGGCAGCTTGCCACATTTTGCTTCATAAAGAGTTCAGTGTCCCCCATGGTACTGCAAACAGCTCTCCAAAAGCAGGAGCCCCTCTTAGGCCAGTGTCAGTGGGGGCCCTGCAGGTCCCGTGGTGGCAGGAGGCTCCCTCAGAGCACTTCTGGTTCTGAGCCTTTGCTTGAAGAGGCTTTGGTGTGTTTGGAGCACCACTCCAGGCACTGTGATTGCTTTTACCTCCTGGCTGCTCCCATGGCCCTCCCCAGATTATCCCGCATTTTTATCCATAAAACAGGGATTTTGCCTGTGTGAGGGGGTCAAACTGATGAACTGAGCCAAGACCTCTAGAACTGAGACCCTTCCCCTTAACCACTAGACTGTCAAAATGCACAGGCATCATGCAGCTATCTGCCCCTGCTGTTCTTTATCCTTCTCTTATGGGATGAGGAATGCATAAGCCCTAGGCTAACCAGGCTTGTTTCTCCACCTTCACAAAGCAGAACAAGACTCTTCTCATCTGTGACAATTTTTGCTTCACTGATCTTTTCCCCTGTTTTTTTCACCAGGGGAAGTTTGGTGATTTGTAATTACTTTGGGCTGGAGTATGTTTTGAGAATTGAGGTTGCTGTGCAGGTTCCTGACAGTGCCAGGCTTTGGTGGTGATGCTCTGTGACTGGGGGTGAGTTGGCAGAAGGGAGGATCCAGCACAGAGCTGAGAATCCTGGACAGCTGCAACTGGCTCTCCGTGGTATCGAGGTGTGTGCAGCCCTTGGGCACTCCACTGCTTGGGAACTGTGGGAAGAGGACCAAGGCCATCCCATAAAGAGTTTTGGCTTTTCCGAAAAAAAAAGATCTCTAATTATCTGTGACAATTTTTGCTTCACTGATCTTTTCCCCTGTTTTTTTCACCAGGGGAAGTTTGGTGATTTGTAATTACTTTGGGCTGGAGTATGTTTTGAGAATTGAGGTTGCTGTGCAGGTTCCTGACAGTGCCAGGCTTTGGTGGTGATGCTCTGTGACTGGGGGTGAGTTGGCAGAAGGGAGGATCCAGCACAGAGCTGAGAATCCTGGACAGCTGCAACTGGCTCTCCGTGGTATCGAGGTGTGTGCAGCCCTTGGGCACTCCACTGCTTGGGAACTGTGGGAAGAGGACCAAGGCCATCCCATAAAGGGTTTTGGCTTTTCTGAAAAAAAGATCTCTAATCCTTCTCACGAATGCAACATGTTCTTGTTTGCATGGAAAAATCAGTGTAAACTACAGAAAATCTTTACAGGCTTTCCTTCTGTTGTTCAGGTTTAACACTCTTGGCTCACTCCCTCTCCTGTTTCTAAATCCAGTATTTGTAGGAACTTTGCAGCCAGACAATAGCATGTGGCCAGTAGGGAGATGAGCAGAGCTCTGTCCAAGTGACCCTGGAGTCCCCAGTGATCTTTCACTCAGTCTGGAAAACTGTGATGATCCAAATGCCATGTTGGAAGGTCTGGCTTAAGAACAATTCCTCAGGTGCTTTTATTCTTGTAAGTGGGACACGTTTTCAGTTGGGTATTGTATGGAGGGGGACAGGCAAAGTGCTGTAATTCTGAGCCATAGTCCAGGTGCCTTCAATCTGTCCTCTGAGAAGCTCTTCACTGTGAATTACCTTGATATCTGTCTTCATTCCACAGGAGCAGCTCAGTGCTCGGTTGGTGTTAAATCTCAGGAGTTTACACTTTTCAGGAGTGCCTTTTTTGGGGATTTTAGAAACTAAAATCTCTCTGAAATGTTTTGGGATTTTTTCTACTCTTTCATTTAATTTTTTTTATGTCCTTCTTTGACTCTTAATGGTGGTTCTTAATTTGGCTCGCAGGGTGTTTTTGTGAAACTTCCCTCCTGAACGTGCAGGGAGGACAGGAGTAACACCTGCCTGTTCCAGACCACCACAAATCTGAGTGCTTGTGTTTTGCCTGCTCTGGCTCACGCTGGGGAAGTGGAGTTGGAATGACACCTAGTGGCAAATTGTGGTGTGTCCTTGTCCAAGCACAGCCCTGTCCTTGCTGCTCTTTGAGGAGTAAAGGGAATTAGGGTGGTTTGTCTTTTGGAACTTAGCAGTACTGTGTAAAACAATCCCATCCTTTTGTCCTGGGAGTTTGGCTGCTGAGGGGAGAGAATTACAGCTTCAAAGAACGTGGCCTGTTGGTTCCTTGACTTTTATTATTTTTGTTAAGGATTATTGGAAAAGAATGTGAAAAAATTATCCAGAATTTGCATTAGGGGGTCTAAAGATTCGCATCCAGGTTTTGAGTGTGTAATGTATTTTCCTAAAGCAGCAGTTACCAGTCCATGTTTGATTTACTTCTCACTCAGGCTTCTAAAATCTAAACATCTTTTTGAAATTCTTAACATATCAACCCAGTGGGGGTAGAAACTGCCCTTCCTTCGATCCTGAAGAAGTCTGTGCTATTCAACACTGCAGCTGTGATAGCATCCAGATGTCCTGCTCTCTGTTGTTCTTGGAAGCACACAGCTGTACGTGAAGGAAAGCTTGAGAGCCTTGTGAGGAGCTTAAGGCCAGGCAGGAGGGCTCAGCCTTGCTGGCTTTGGTAGTGATTTGGAAACCAGCTGCAGTGTAGGGCCTGCTTCACGTGTTTGTTCTGGATGTGATAAACCCTCACGCTCTTCTTTGGAATCTGGGTATTTTCCTCTTTTAGGCGAGATATTTTCTCTTCTGGTAATTTACACTATTTCTGAGGCCCTGCTCCATTTCTCAGTCCTGTTTTCTACCCGGGTGTTTGGCTGCAGTACTAAGAGAGTCAGCTTTTATCTGATGCACAAACTGGAATAGGAATGATGGTTCACTTGGCTGCTGGGCAGCAGCTCTGGGTTTGGCTCTGCAGGAGCTGTGGCAAGTCCAGGGGCAAGGTAGAAGCTTCCCAGAAGCTTCCATGGTGCCTTTGAGGACCTGCAGTGCAGGCTCAGCAAAGGCTTGTACCACGTAGGGCAACTACTGTGTGGCTGTGTCTAATTAGGCTGTGTGGGGCCTTATTGTTTTAAGTAATGATACTGAAGATTTGGGGGTTTGAGGTGGGATAAAATAAAATCTCAATTGTTTAGCTTAATTTAGTTTTCTAAATGATGCAAAGCAACACAGACATTGGCTTCTTTGGCACCAGTGTGAGCCCTAGAATTTGCAGGGAGGTTGGGTTGTCCAGGTCTCTCACCCACTCGGCTTTCTCCTGGAAAGTGTCACAAAGTGCCTGTACCACTCAGTGCATGTACCCAGTCCCAAGTTGCCTTCACCACTCTTGGGAGGGTTTTGGTGCTTTTTTTGACCACTCACTCTCCTCTTTCACCTGGATTAAGAGTGCAGCACTCCAAGGCAGGTGCCTGCATGCCAGCTGTGCCTTACTGTGCAGGAAACTTCCCAAAGAAATAAATGTGAACACCAGGGACGTGCTGTGGCAAGCGGCATCACGGAGCTCAGTGCCTTCCACCCTCGGCGTGCCAGGGGCAGCAGGAGCTCTGCCTGGTGGCATTGTCCCCCTCCCAGTGTCCCCCCCTGCCTGGTGATCCTGCAGAAGTGTGATGGGCCAGCTCTGGCTGCTGTGGCAGAGGTCCCTGCACTGTTGTTTGCTGGGATCCTGGAGCAGCTCCGCGAGGTGTGTGACAAAGCAGCAGCTCCTGCGCGGACGCCCCGAGGCCGTGAGCTTTCCTGTTGCCTTTCACTGCGGAAAGAACCTCCCGGGAAGCCCTCGGGATCCGAGATCTTCCGGCACTTGATGTTATTTTTGGTTGCCTGGTTTCCGGTGCTGGGTTGGAACGGTTTGGAAGCGACTCCGGTCTCATCCAGTCGGTCTGTGTCCCATCCAGTGTCCCCTGCTGTGCCTTGCCTTTCGAGTCCTGGCTTTACTCTAAGGACTGTCCTGTCAGATGAGGTGGGACCCATTGTAATTATTCTGTAATGTTCAAGTTAGAGTGTACAGAATTATTTATTTGTTGTACTCGTTCTGCTAAAACATGTCCATGTATTCTGTGTACCCCACGGCTCTGCTGTCCTTTCTTCTGCCTGGTGGATCACCCACGGGCTGGCTGCTGGAAGGCAATTCCAGGCCTGATTTCCAGGCTGGGAATGATGGTCAGTAAGTACATGGAGACCCAGGAGGTGCTCACTCCTCTTTTATGTTCGCAGATCACAGCAAGAGGTACCAAAGTGCCCATCAGAGGGTTTGCTGGTTTCTGTAATGCAGCTGCCAGGTCAGGAGCTGCCCAAGGGAGACCTTGTGCAGGGCTGGGATGTCCATGGGATGCCCTGGATGAGGCAAGCACTCAGCCTGTTCCTGGAAGGTGCACTTGGGAGGCTGAACAGGCACTTTGAGACATTCTGTTTATTTTTCTTTGGCTGTCAGACTGGGCCAGAGGCCAGAGAAATGCTCTGGTTTGTCCACAGCCACTCACCTCTCCAGTTTTACTCTGAGCAGCTTTTATGAACCAACAGGAAAACTTGTAATATAAGTGAACAATGCACACCCCTCTTGAGATGCCTCCTCTCCAGGATTTTCCAGGGGCAGGGGGCCCCATCCCATTGGTGACAGAGCTGACAGAGAGCTCAGCACACAGACCAGATGACCCATAGTGCTGCAGCTGGTGATTCCTGTTTGAAGTTTCCTATAGCCACCAGTTCTGTTTGCCTGTATGGTCCATGCCCACATCTTTGTTCACTTGCCTTTAAGGTCAGTTAGATGCTCCCTGCAGAGCAACCCACTAAAGAAAACTAACTATTAATGACCACTAAAATTTGTTAGCCCCAGGCTTTACTTGAGCAGATTTGTATTTATTTTAACTCAGTCATATGGGCCAGACTGTTTGTGTTTGCCCTCCATTGATGTTCCATTAAAATTTGTTAGCCCCAGGCTTTACTTGAGCAGATTTGTATTTATTTTAAGTCAGTCATATGGGCCATTGCCCTCCATTGATGTTCCACACCCCTTCCCATCAGTGTGTCCCTGTGTAGTGTCACACTCTCTGCTTAATACGGTGATTACATTTTGGGGGCTGTGATTCACACTGCAGAGGTGGTGTATCACCTTCACATCACTGGTAAGGAAAACTAAACCCCACACCTCATGTTGGGACAGTCTGATCCTGCTTCTCTCCACGGTGCCTTATCACCAGCTCTATTTGGAGCTGCTGGGAACTGGATTGTAGTTCACTGAGCATGTGTCTCGCTACTTCCATATCACACAAGACTTTTTTTTCCCACCAGTCATTGTGTCAATAACCCATTTGAGTGAAAGCCTGTCACCTGGCCTTGAAATTTTTTTTAGCTTCAAATTTTCCTTTGCAGTGGCCTCCAGTTTCCTGCTGTTACCTGGCAGATCTGCAGGGGTGAACCTGCTGTTCTCCAGCCATCCCTTTCCACCTTCCCCAGGAGCTGGAGCTGCCTGTGGCACTTCTCCTTTTCAGCTGTGTTCTCAGCTGCTACACAAGTCATGGCTTTAAACTGCAGGCAGGGATCCTTTAGGATCCTGTGCCCCACCAACACCCACCTTCTACTGCAAGCTGAGCAGCCCTTCTGGTGCTGAGCTGCAGCTCCACAGTCCCTTCCCTGGTGGCACCTCGCTCCTGGCTCAGTGGGAGAACCATTCTCCCAACCTTCAGCACTGCCTGGGTAGGTGCCAGGGTGTGCTTGGAGACCCACTGAGCAGCCCTTGAGCCACAGCCAGCCCTGCTCCCCCTCTTCCTGAGCATCCTGTCCTAGTTTGGCAGTTCCCCTGGATGCCAGCTGGGCACCAAGCTCCAGCTCTCAGAAGGAGAGAAGCATGGGGTGCCCCAGGCTCCTCCATGTATCTTCTATCCCACTCTGCATCATGAGAAG